ATCACTTCCCACCTGTCAGAATGGGTAAAATCGACACACAAGAAACAACAGTGTCAATAAGGATGTGGAGAAAAAGGAGCCCTCATGCACTTTTGGGGGGAATGCAACATTGTGCAGACACTGGGGAAAATGATACGAAGTTTCCTCCAAAAATTGAAAATAGAACTATCATACAATTTAATAATTCCAGTATTGGGTACTTACCCAAAGAAAAGGAAAACACTAATTTGAAAAGATATTTCTCCCCCAACATGTATTTAAAAACTTTTTTTAAAATAGTTTATTTATTTTTGAGACAGAGAGACACAGCATGAGTGGGGGAGGGGCAGAGAGAGAGGGAGACACTGTTTCAGAGACACGGAATCTGAAACAGGCTCCCGGCTCCGAGCTGTCAGCACAGAGCCCGACATGGGGCTCGAACCCACGAACCACGAGATCGTGACCTGAGCAGAAGCGGGACACTTAACCCAAGTGTCCAAGTGCCCAAGTGTCCACTGATGGATGAAAGAGTAAAGAAGATGTGGTACATACAATGGAATATTATTCAGCATAAAAAAGAATGAAATCTTGTCATTTGCAACAGTGTGGATGAATTTAGAGGATATAATGCTAAGTAAAACAAATCAGTCAGCAAAAGACAAATTCCGTATGATATCACTCATATGTGCAGTTTAAGAAACAAATGAATGAACAAAGGAAAAAAGAAACTAACCAAAATATAGGCTCTTAGCTACAGAGAACAAGCAGATGGTTACCAGAGGGGAAGTGGGCATGGGGATGGGTGTAACAGATGAAAGGGATTAAGAGCACACTCATGGTGGTCAGCACTGAGTAATGTGTAGGAGTGTTGAATCACTATATGGTACACCTGAAACTAATATAACACTGTATGTTAACTCTACTGGGATTTTTAAAATTAAATTAAAAAAAAAAAAACAATAAAACTGTCACCTACCAACCTGGAGAAGCCTGCCTCTTTCTTTGGTCTCTCCCTGCCTCCATGTTTGGGGGTCCAATTTCAGATTTCACCAAGTAGCTCCTGAGAGGTATGAGAACCAATATAGAAGAACTATAAGCGTAATTCTGATCTCTGATACTATAATTCTCCTTTGATTACCTATATCTTTTTTTTATCCCCAAATAAAAAGTACCTAAAGAAATTTAAGTTTCGGGTTAATGTGGTTTTTTAGCTTGGATTCATTAATCTTCTCTTATTAAAATTACATTCATTGAATGCACTAAAATATTTTATATGCAAGTAAATAAATACCCATAAAGGTTTAAAAAAATCTATCTGTGTCATTAAAAATTAAAGATGCCTAGTTTTGACACACGTGCTGATAAGACTCATGGATATCATTTTATAACCATGCACACTATAACTAAAACTAATATTGTGTATTAGTTTTATGGAAGGAAAGTATAAAAAGGAAAACCCAAATTTGCCACTTTATTGTACTGATTTCTTTTATTGTCCACATTCCTGACTGATTTAGTTATTATGATGGCCAACACAAAATATTCTAGAACCTTTATGGTTAGCACCAGTTGTTACAAGGTCCTGAATAGTACTTTATTTAGTTACAGATGTCATACATGGAAACTATGTGAAATTCTCTTACATGAAGCTGCTGGTCTACGAGTGGAACTCACTGGTGAGATACTCATGATGTGGGGTGTTCGTAACGCATGCCAGGCACATAAAAGCCTTTAAAGGCTTGACTTCACTGGAGTTCAGATTAGTTCTCTTGTCAACATTGAACTTCTGTTTGACCTCCTGATATTCTTTGTCACCCCTGTGTTTTCATTTTGTAGTGTTTTATTTGTCTTCCCCCATAATTTGATCTCGGCATTTTAAAATACATTACTCATAGTTGGCTTTACTGTATTCTATAGAAAACTATTAAAATATGAGGACAGAACAAGGGAACAGGAATGATAGTATTAGTGTAAGATAATAAACCTTCCACTTCTCTACCCTGGGGGATTCTAAGCAGAGAAAAGTCTTCTAAACTTGGCTAATTTGGGAAGCTATGGTTTCAGTCTATCCTGACTAAGGATCGTGTGGGTGATAGAGAGGTTATGATACTGAATTCAGGTAGAGAATTATAAACAAGCTGTTACATGTTAAAAACTCTACAGCCTTCTGCAAATGCTGAGAGCTCTATCTGATTTTATCATTATGATGCCAAAGCTCATGTTACATCCTTGGCATGTATGTATTCAAGGAAGGATGTTGGTTTATAGATGGATAAAATAAAAACAAACCTGAAATCTTCCATATAGAGAAATCTTTCAAACTAGAAACATATTACAAGATAAATTAATTTACAATATACAGCTTCATAACATAGGGAGTATTTCCAAAGCAAGAGACCAAACTCACCCACAGGTGAGAATCACATCATTTATATCATCTCACTTTGAGAAGAATGACCTGAGGTCTACCCATCATCTTCTGATCAAACCCTGGCACTTTCTGCAGAACAATCTTTCTGTGCATCTTGCCTTTTGGTCCATGAATATGTGTTGGTCCGTCTTACTTTGTTGAAAGGCGGCACTAAAGAACCCCAAGTTAGCAACGGGTTCTTAATATTGAAGAAAACACCACGCGTGCTGACCGTATCTCACTGGAAAGTGTGGGCTATGAACAGGGGCAGTAATGGCAGGAAAACATTTGCTGGCCTCTGTGATTAGCTATCCTAGGTTGACGTAGACACAGCTGCTTCCACAATTTGGTTTAATGGAATCGACACTTATAAGCTCGTTTTCAGTGCTGCAATTTAAGACAAGCACAAAGTAGATATACGGTCACTTTACATTCACACACAGTCTATAAGATTAATTCACATACATTTCTAATACAATGCACATCTTCATTCATTCAGGATACTGAGTGCCAAGCATGTGGCAAGATGATTGACAGAACTCGCCATCCCTGCTGCCAAGGGACTATTATAATCTGGCCATTCTCACACTTGCAGGGCCATGGGATGGCTTATTCTCTCTCCCAGACCTTTCTATGGGTCATTTTCCTAGTAAAGTTTCTCTCCACATTCTGCATAACTGAAGGGTACATTGCAGGCGGGTGCAGGGGCCTCTAGTTGATCAACCCTGAGGGATCCCGTAGTTGATCATTGGAAGATTTCAACATCAGTTCACTCTCCCCAAAATATTAAAGTAAAAAGTTTCAAGTGTACAGGGGCACCTGGGTGGCTCAGTCAGTTAAGCGTCTGGCTTAAGCTCGGGTCACGGTCTCGAAGTTCGGGAGTTGAAGCCCCGTGTCGGACTCTGACAGCTCAGAGCCTGGAGCCAGCCTGCTTCAGATTTTGTGTCTCCCTCTCTCTCTGCTCCTCCCCTGCTCCTGCTCTGTCTCTCTCTCTCTCTCTCAAAAATAAACATTAACAAAATTTAATTTATAGATAAAACAAAGATGACATACAACATATGCTACGTAATAAAGGCATCCAATGGAACTAAATACTATCGTGATATTGTGAAAATATTGTTTTTGTAAATTTTAAAGAAGAAATTACTATATGCATTTGGCTAACTTAAATATATTTATATATCTGTAATATTTAAATATAATTTGTAGGGGCGCCTGAGTGGCTCAGTTGGTTGAGTGTCCAACTTTGGCTCAGGTCATGATCTCACAGTTCGTGGGTTTGAGCCCCGTGTCGGACTCTGTGCTGACAACTAGCTCAGGGCCTAGAGCCTGTCTTCGGATTCTGTGTCTCCCTTTCTTTCTGGCCCTCCACTGCTCATGCTGTCTTTATCTCTCTCTCTTAAAAATAAAATAAATAAATAAATAAATAAAATTTATACTAACAACTTTAAATGCTTATATTAAAAATATTACATAACATAGTTTAAAGCATATTTTGATTGGATTGGTATTTTACTTCTTTGAATACATGAAGACAGAAATATTTATTAAGTCAGCGAAATGAATATTGTGCCTACTGGCCAGATAACAATGGCAGGACAGAAATACTTGCATAGAAAGTGAAAGAGACTCATCAGTGAAGGCATTTCAGACTGAATGTTCCAACTATGGCCCTTGGAAAGAGCCTTTGTCTATCGCTCTCCTTCAAGATGCATGTAAGGAACAGATTAACCTACATGTGATGTTCCCCGCAGTAGTTTTTCTGTCACCATGACTCCCTAGCAAAAATTAAGATATTCCATATTAAATGAATATTTTTTCAAAAAGTGCACAAAATAGTATCAGAGCATATAACGTGACCCAACTATCTAGAAAACCTGAGGATGTTTAAAACAGAATATGAATTCCTTAGGACTACTGGGGTTTTATCTACTAAATCTGTTGCTAAGTGTTGATGCATGAAGCAATGTGTGAATTTATGAATTTATTGTATTTTAAAGTAAAAGTTTTTGAACAAATGAGAAGGTAGCAGCTGGACAGTTATTTATGAATTCATGAGGTTAGGAAAACACGATTCATAAAACTTTACAATGAATGACTTAAATAATCATTAAGCAGTTTTGACTCAACCTCAAGATTGTTACAATTTTCTCACATGTAGACATAATGACTGATGAAAAAAATTGCAAAAGAAAAACAAGAAACCCAACACACTGTAGTTCATAGGGACATTAAGAAGATGTAGAGTATGGGGGCGCCTGGGTGGTTCAGGCTGTTGAGCATCCCACTTTGGCTCAGGTCACAATCTCGCGGTTTGTGAGTTCAAGCCCCGCATCGGGCTCACTGCAGTTAGCCTGTCAGCACAGGGCCCACTTCGGAGCCCTCTGTCCCCCTCTCTCTGTCCCTCCCCTGCTTGCATGCACCCGCTTTTCTCTCAAAAATACACATTAAAGAAAAGAAAAAGTAAAGTCTGAATATTCTGCTATAAGATAATCCTGACCCAGAGGGAACAAACATCAATGACACTCAAGGAGGCTTCTGCCAACACAATATGGAGCAAGTGATACAACAAACAGCGCAAACAGGTTTGCCCGGAAAGGAACATACTTACTGGGGAAAACCACATCACTTTAAGAATCCAAATTGTAAGAGCAAGATTCACAAGGAGGATGATGAGCAAAAGGAGAACAAATAAGTAGAGGCAACGTTTCCTCCAGCCATAAATGCCAACTTTGTAGACACACTGGTTCTCTGGCCTCTCTATGTGGGTGCCTTCCGTGGCTGTAATGTACTGTTCTCGCACCATCTGCCACGCAGGAGGGGGGAGGGAGAAAGGGAGAGAAGGATTGTGGAGAGAGAGAGAGAGGAAAGAGAAAGGAGGGGGAGAGAGGGAGAGAGACAGACAGAAACAGAGAACTTGTTTGTTAATACTGATTTACTAAAAGTCCAACAAAATAACACTTTTTATCCCAATAAATTTCTAAAACTAAAATGATTTTTAAAAAGAATTGAGTATTACTTAGAAACATGTCACCGTTTCAAGCATTCAAAATATTTTCGATGTGGCAAACCCACCTGAAATCCAGCGGCCACATTTTCAGATGGTAATCAATAAATTCAATATATACAGACAACTTTCAAAATTCTGCAGACTTAAACCTGGAATGGAAGCATTAACCTCAAATAATCAAGTTATCAAGTTTTTAAAGGGTTCAGTGGGCGGAAGATCAAGCTGATGCCTCTATGTCTTTTAAAAATTCAATTACTTAGGTTTTAAGTCAAATAATTAAATCACATCTTTCTCCAGTCGCTAAATTACTCAGAATTTAAAAGGCTCTTTTCAAGATACCTACTGTCATCATTTTTTGCCTATAATTAATTTCCCTAGAAATTAATATGACTTCCAAGAACGATCAGAATGTATGTGTACACACAAATTTTACAAGTCCCTGTTGTTTTATGTAAGTTAGGGTTTTCCTAACAATTTCAACTCTATGAGGGTTAAAATAATGAATATTACATATTTCATATTTGAAAGATGAATTGTTAAATATTAAAAAATATTCATTATTTCACTTACACACTGTACACTTTTGGTTTTAATGTATAAAGATTTGAGATAATGAAGACTTTCTAGACTGCATATGCAGTAAAACAATGAATCAGGAAACATAAAATATTCTCCTCTGGAATTTTTTTTTAATGCAAAGGTCTTACATTTCTTTTTAGGAATGATTTGGATGTGTCCTTAATTAAAATAAGTCATTGTCTGAAATAATGCTTTCAATCTCTAATTCAACAATTGGCATTTTCCTATGTTCTGAATGATTACATAAAGCTGTGCTACTCATCACACAGGATTTTCAAATACTTAGGACTGACAATCTACATTATTCAAAACCTCAGTGCTTACTGGATCCATCCTGGCACAACTTACTTGCTTGGGCTCCTCGGTCTTCCTGACTCAGGGTCCACCCCATCCATGCGGTTGCTCCCATATCCTAGGACCGAAGCTTGCTTTTTCTCCTTTCCCTCCCAACCTCACATCTCATCAGCTCCGCCTTAACACATATCTTGAATCTGTCCACGCCTCTTCCTACCACACTAGTTGAGGCCACCACATACTCTCTTACCTGAACCATTGCAAGACCCATTTCCCTTCCTTCCCTCCAGAAACCATTCCCTACCGGGCAGCCAAATGTGCAAAATATAAGCCAGCTCTGTCGTATCAAGCTTGCTAATGGCTCTTCCCCTCCCAGAGGATATCTGAACTCCTGTATCACAGGCCGGACCCTACGCGAAGGGCCTCTGCATACTTCTTCGACATCATCTACCACCGTTTTATCTTTTGCTCACAAGGCTTCATCTACTTTTTTTTCTAGGAGAGAGAGAGAGAGACAGCGTGAGCAGGGGAGGATCAGAGAGAGAGGGAGTTACAGACACCGAAATAGGCTCCAGGCTCCAAGCTGGCAGTCAGCACAGAGCCCAACGTGGGGCTTGAACCCACGAACTGCGAGATCATGACCTAAGCGAAAGTCGGACGCTTAACCGACTAAGCCACCCAGGCGCCCCGGCTCCATCTCCTCTTGAAAAGACTAGGTTCACTCACCTCAGGACCTCCATCCTGGGTACTCTGTCCCCCTGAAACACTCTGCTGGCCCCTTCTTAGCTTTCAATGGCTGCACACCTGCCATTTCCTCCAAGAAGCCTTCCCTGGGCCCTCACTCGCTTGCCATTGCATCACCCTCTTGCATTTATTTCAAAGTGTCATTATCTGAAATAATGGTGGCGACTCCAGGATTCCTGGGAAACGTGGGCTAACAGCCTGCACTTGGATTGCAAAGGGTGGCCAGAGTGTCTGAATTTATAGCGAGTGCACCATTTTACAGTATGGCTACAGATCCGTAAAAACAGCAGCTTTCCAAGAATGTGTTTCCAAGAATGGAAACACAGGGACTTTCCAACTGCTACATATTTCTCTTCCTACATGTAGTTTCCAATTGCTGGTATAATAAATGATCACACACGTAGTGGCTTAACCCAACCCAGTTTTATTGTCTTAAGGTTTAGGAGGTCAGAAGTCTGCAAATGGGTCTTTGGGGGCTAAAACTCAGAGTGTGGGCAGGTTTGTAATCCTTCTGGAGGATCTAGGCGAAGTCTGTTCTTCCTTCTTTCAGCTTCCAGAGGCTGCCCACACTCCTTGGCTACAACCTCCATTTAGGTGGCCACAGTTCCTTCTCTGGCTCTGACCCTCCTGCTTCCCCTTCATAAGGACCTTTGCAGTTACAGCCGGGCCACCAGCACTCAGTCACCTGCATAATCACAACTGCACAATCCTTTTTCCCATGAAGGTCCCAGGGACTAGGACATGGCCACATTTGGGGGTCATTATTCTGCCCATCATACAAAGCTTTTGTTTGCTTACATAAGATGGGGAAAACTTTAATATCCACTTAAGACAATTTTGCTGTGGCTTACAGGAGAGCCAATAGCAATTCTGTTATGAGGGAAGACTTTATTTTTTTTTTAATATTTTTATTTATTTCTAGGAAAGAGAGAGAGACAGCATGAGAAGGGGAGGGTCAGAGAGAGAGGGAGTCACAGACTCTGAAATCAGCTCCAGGCTCTGAGCTGGCAGTCAGCACAGAGCCCGAAGCGGGGCTCGAACCCACAAACCGCGAGATCATGACCTAAGCGAAAGTCGGAAGCTTAACCAACTAAGCCACCCAGGCGCCCCATGAGGGTAGTCTTTAAACCCCTCTTATTCAGTCCCGGGAATTTGTTTTATCTGAGTATTCACTTGTTTATTGACTCCGCCCTCCTTAGGATGTAAACTCTCTGTGAGCCTTTTCGTTGCTGTGTCCCTGAAAGAGTGTAACTGAGAAATAATAGGCATACAATAGAAGCCGTAAGTGAATGAGCGAATGGATGAATAAATAGAAAGAGGGGCGCATGGGGGCTCAGTCAGTTAAGCGTCCGACTTCAGCTCAGGTCATGAAATCAGTTTGTGAGTTCAAACCCCATGTTGGGCTCCGTGCTGACAGCTCAGAGCCTGGAGCCTGCTTCAGATTCTGAGTCTCCCTCTCTGCCCCTCCCCTGCGCACACTCTGTCTCTGTTTGTCAAAAACAAACATCAAATAACATGTTTTTTAAATAGAGAGAAAGAACTACTGAATCTGACAAACACTAACCCAGGCTACTACCCACCAGAGATGATGCTAGTAAATGGGGCTAAATAGACGGAGTGTTTTCTCTGAATTACGTACTAAAAAAAAAAACAAAAAACAACAGTCTGATTTATGAACATACTGAATCCATTAAGGGAAGAGTTCGGACTTGTGGTCTAACATTCTTATTTATTTATTTTTACAAATAGTTTATTGTCAAGTTGGTTTCCACATAACACCCAGTGCTCACCCCCACAAGTGCCCCCCTCCATGCCCATCTCCCTCCTCCCCCCCACACCCATCAGTCCTCAGTTTGTTCTCAGCATTCAAGAGTCTCTCATGGTTTGCCTCTCTCCCCCTCCCCCACCATTTCCCCCCTTCTTCTCCCCCAAGGTCCTCCGTTAAGTTCCTCCTAATCCTCCTATACGTGCAAACATATGATATTTATCCTTCTCTGCCTGGGTCTAACATTCTTCTAAAACAACAATTGTCCATGAGGAGCAAATTCCAAAGGGGGCCCAGGCTAAGTAGCTAACCATGGTATTTCTTCTGAAGCATTTTCAGTAAAGACCTTTTGGAAAGAGGACTAGTAATCTACAAATACGAGGTCCTTAGTATTCTTTCAGTAATAAAATCCTAAGAAGAATAGACTATATAAAGACTGGAAAACCCGTCTTAGAAGGGGCGAGCCTCCAGCCTGGGGCTCCCGAGGACAGTGATTACGTTTTACCACCATATGCTCTGACCAACAGCAGGTGTTTCACAAGGATCTACAGTCCCAGCTCCATCTCTCCATTCCTCCTCCAGCAAACCTCGAGTGGGTTGAGTGTGCCCACTGTTTTTCTAATTCTGGGTCTTCCTTCCCTCCAGAACTCAATTCCAGGCAGGCTTTCACACCTGCCGCCCATTGAACTTGCTCTTGTAAGCAATGATCTCCATGTTGCTAAGCAAAGTGGGTTCACATGACCCAGGGTCAGCGCATGCCAAATGGTCACTGCCTCCTCTTCTGCTAGGTTTCCGGAACCCCCCTTGCAATGGCAGGGGAAATGCTGCTCACTCTCATCATCTCTGAGCCCCAGGCTCAGCCCTGAGATTACTTCTCATCTCCATCTGCATTACCCCGAGTTGTGAATGCATCTTTAAGCTGAGAACTCTCTAGTTCCTAGCTATGACTCACCGTGAACCCAAGATTCCTATACCCAACTGAGAATCTCAAGTTCCACACGTCTCGACTAAAGTTGACCTCATCTCCCCAACCTGCTCCTTGTAAAATTTTCCCCATCTCGCTAAGTGGTAACTTCATTCATCAAGGTGCTCAAGCCAAGGGCACCTGGGTGGCTCAGTTGGTTAAGCATCCAACTCTTGATTTTGACTCCGGTCATTATCTTCCAGTTCATGGGATCGAGCCTCACACAGGGCTCTATACTGACAGCACAGAGCCTGCTTGGGATCCTCTCTCTCCCTCTCTCTCTGTGACTCCCCTGCTTGTGCTCTTTCTCACTCTCTCAAAACAAATAACTAAGCTTTATAAATTTAAAAAAGATGCTCAAGTCAAAAATCTTTAAGTTGTTCTTAATCCCTTTCTTTCTCCATACTGCATCCAATCCATCTGCAAATCAGTGAATTAAAGTACTACCAA